TAAAGTAAAAACAGACAAAACCAAAAGGAAAATTTGACAAATCTACAATTGTAGTGGGAAATTGTAACACACCTCTCTCAGTAATTTATAAAGCTAGTACACAAAAAAAAATCAGTATGAGTATAGAAAGTGTGAACAGGGATCCCTGGGTGGCGCAGCGGTTTGGCGCCTGCCTTTGGCCCAGGGCGCGATCCTGGAGACCCGGGATCGAATCCCACATCGGGCTCCCGGTGCGTGGAGCCTGCTTCTCCCTCTGCCTGTGTCTCTGCCTCTCTCTCTCTTTCTGTGACTATCATAAATAAATAAAAATTTAAAAATAAATAAATAATAAAATAAAGTGTGAACAAAATAATATTAACAAACTTGACCTAACAAAGCAACTACAGAATAGATACTCTTTTCAATTACATGGTGAAAAAATTACCCAAACTGACTAAAGGAGGTAGAATAATGGTCCGCCACAGACGTCTATATCCTAATCCCCAGAACCTGGGAATATGCTATATCACATGGCAAGGGGAAATAAGATTGCAGATGGAATTAAGATTGCTAATCATATGACTAGGAGATAAGGAGATTAACCTGGATTATCTGGATAGACCCAATGTAATCACAAGATCCCTTAGATGTGAAAGGAAGGCTGAAGAGCCAGGTAAGAGGAATACGGAAAGTCTCTAGAAGTTGGAAAAGGTAAAGAACCAGTCTCATCTATAGCCTCAGGAAGAATGCAGCCCTGGGGACGCTTTGATGTTAGCCCAGTGAGACCCATATCAGAACTAAAGTAATAAACTTATGGGGTGCCTAGGGGGCTCAGTCAGTTAAGCGTCCAAGTCTTGATCTCAGGGCTGTGAGTTCACGCTCCACATTGGGTTCGACACTGGGCATGGAGCCTACTTTTAAAAAAAGATAATACATTTATGTTGTTTTAAGTCACTATTTTTCCAAACTCTGTTACTCGTAGCTGATCCAATTGCTAACTGATTCCAAGGTGTCCCCCATCAGCCATGTTAAACAGTAGGAGCAGGAGCAGCACAGGAAAGAGTGTAGCTGGAATATTGGCTGAATCTTGAGGATTGACAGGAGCTGAGTCTGAATAAGTAGGGTGAGATCCTGTCACCCCATTCGTTCACTCATACATCCATTCATGAAACATTTACTAAGCACCTACTCCCTGCTAGATACTGTGTGTAACACAGGGCTGTAGAGATGATCAGGACAAGGTTCTTACTCTCCAGGAGCTCACAGGGGAAGAAAGAAGTAAACCATGAAGAAGAGCAATGACAGGAGTAGGCACCAGAGATGGGAGCGCAGAGGTCTGGTTGCCAGCAATGGAATCTCAAGAAGTACAACTTAGACCAAAAGTATATGGGCTCATATAGCCAAAAGAAGGAGGGTCAGAGGGAGAATGTAGCCAAGAGGATGTGAGCAAAGGCAAGGTGAGAAATAGCTTAGAAAGTGTGGAGAGCCATGAGAACCGGTGTAGCTGGGGTACAGAACACTGGGGAAGGAGCAGTAAGAAGAGATGGAGGCACCCATGGGCCACACCATGGGGGAGCCTCAAATGGCGGGTCATGACATCTGATGTCCCCTGACAGGTTATGGGGAACTGTGGAGAAAGGGAAGGAGTTGTTAAAGACAGGAACGCAATGGTGAAATTTGGGTTTTAGAAGCATCATGTTGACTGCGGCATGGAGGATGGATTGGAGAAGGCCAAGACTGCAGTCAGGGAGTCCCTTTAGGAAGTCCCTTTCAATAATACAGATGGGATCATAGTGCTGGTACATGGTGGTGCCGTGAAGATAGCCAGGAGGGGCTGTAATCAGGACATAGTTAGGAGTCAGAATCAGGAGGCTTGAGATTGACTTGAGGTGGGCGATGGCAGGGGGCAGTAAGTATGAAAGACACGATTCTCTGGTTTCTGATGGAAGCAACTTGGTGGTGCCATTTATTGAGATGAAGGATACAGGGGGAGTGAGTTGGAAAGAGATGATCGAGCAGCCCGGGTGGCTCAGCGGTTTGGCATCCACCTTCGGCCCTGGGCCTGATCCTGGAGACCCGGGATTGAGTCCCACATTGGGCTCCCTGCATGGAACCTGCTTCTATCTCTCTCTGTGTCTGTCATGAATAAATAAACAAAATCTTTAAAAAAATAAAAGAAAGAGATGATCAATTCATATTGGGGCACGTTAACTTTGAAGGGCTTCTGTGACATTCTGGCGGAGATAGCCAGGAGCAGTTGGGTATTTAGGTCTGGAGCTCCAGTAAGAAGCCCAATCGGGAAAGAGAAATACAAGAACCATCAGAATCTATGACATTGGACAACGGAACCGTGGGAGTAGATGAGATCCCCAAAGGACACGGCTATGGCTTAAGGCAGCAATTCTCAACAAAATATGTGTGGGGTGGCATAACTCCCTGGGAGGGTTTGGAATCACCAGAGGGGCTTTTCCAAAGCACCAGCCCTCAATTTCAGTAAATATCCTAGGAAGTGTGACCAAGGGAAACTCTTGCCGATGAAGATGTGACCTAGGGTAAGAAGAAATTTGAGACCCTTGGTAAGATGGAAATAGAGTCAAGGTGGGCACAAGAGAGTAAAGGAAAAAGAAGCCAGAAAGAAGAGATGTTTGGGGAGATCCAAGAGAATGAGGTGCCCCAGACGATAAAGCAGTGACTCTCAACTGTGATTGTGCACCAGGGACACTTGTGAAAAATAACAGATTCCTGCCCTTCACTATTCTGATGCCATGGGGCCCTAGAATCCGCATTGTAAAGAGTTCTGTGGGCACTATTTCTGGGGTAGAGAATTTCATGAAGACAGGTGTGGTCGACAGGCTTACACCAGCAGAGGGAATGGGTCCAGCAAGATAAAGATCTGTTGGATTCCGCCCTTCAGGAGGTCACCGGTAACCATGGAAGAGGTAATTTCAGTGGTGGCAGCGTGGGTGTGGAAGCCAGATTGCAGTGGGCTGAAGACCGAATAGGAGGTGAGAAAGAGAAGACAGCAAACGTGGACCCCTTTTAGAAGTTTGGATGAGAGGCGGAGGCGAGAGCTTCATCCCCCTCAAAGGCCAACTTCCATCTCCTGGAGAAACTTGGCGAAGAGGATTGGGGAAATCTGGAGGCTGAGTCAGACATTCCATGGACCTTCAGAATGCACCAGGAAGGCGATTCGGGAAATGGGCAAGGGCCGAGCACACCTCAAGCTGCCAAGTCTCAAAACCAAATCCACTGTGCCCTCCTTCTCTCTACTCACCCCACGGCCATTCCACCATATTCACCGCCCAAGTGATCTTTCCATGACTCAGATATGACCATCCTTCTGCTCTACTTGAAACTGTCCAACAGCTACTATCCCCACTCTCACCCAAGAGAACACCGGGAACACTCCCAGGGAATAGCCAAGTCCCCGAAGTTGGCATTCAAAACCCTTCTGACCTTTGTGATCCCTACTTCCCTCTGTTTCTTCACCCCCATCCTCTTCACTGTCACCTCCCACTGTACCACATTCACCTTAAACCCAGGCTTCGGGATCCCTGGGTGGCGCAGCCGTTTGGCGCCTGCCTTTGGCCCAGGGCGCGATCCTGGAGACCCGGGATCGAATCCCACGTCGGGCTCCCGGTGCATGGAGCCTGCTTCTCCCTCTGCCTGTGTCTCTGCCTTTCTCTCTCTCTCTGTGTGACTATCATAAATAAATAAAAATTAAAAAAAAAAACCCAGGCTTCATGGAGTCAGTCAATGGCAGTTCCCTGGTGACCTGTGCTGTCCCACCCTCATTACCCAACCAGTCCTCTTAGACACAGCAAGCTCAAGCACCCCCTCCTCTGAGAGTTAGTCACTCCCTCCTTGGAGAGAACCAGCACCTTGCCCACACCTGTACCAAAGTACAGGTAGAATGGTCTCTCTCTCTCTCTCTCTCTCTCTCTCTCTCTCTCTAACATTTTATTTATTTATGAGAGACAGAGAGAGAGGTGCAGAGACGCAGGCAGAGGGAGAAGCAGGCTCCCTGAGGGAAGCCTGATGCAGGACTCAATCCCAGGACCCTGGGGGTCACGACCTGAGCCAAAGGCAGATGCTCAACCATTGAGCCCCCCAGGTGCTCCCCAGGTAGAATAGCCTTCTGTGTCTATTTGTTGACACAGCTGTCCCTTCCCAGGACTGTGTCTTCTCTGAATGACCAGCATCTGGCCAGGGCTGAGTTCCCAGTAAGCGCCAGTGAGTATGAAGTGGGGTTTCACCTGAAGTACCCATCGCGATCAAGTAAATGTTTAAATCATGGAGTCACACCACAGACCCTTTGATCCACCAATTCAATACTTGAATCTGAAGATTCTTCTCTTTCCCCCTTTCCCTTCTCCCTAGCTTTACTAATACTTTCGGATTAATTTTCCCTCCTAAAGGGAAGAAAAGGCAGGCTCGGGGCAAACCGTGTCTTTAGATGGTACAAGGTCTCCTGTGGATTAGGAAGTCATAGGAGGGTGTGCCCCAGGGGAGAGAGCGCCTGGTCCCATCTCAGGGAGTTTTCTTTCCTTTCACACTTTAACTCTTTGAACCTTAGTGTAGATGGGGTTACGAATACCATTACCTTAAAAAAATTGTGGTAAGAATCAGGTGAAATACTCGCTGCAAAGCCTAGGGGTTTGTTGTTGTTGTTGTTGTTTTTAAGCCTAGTTTTTGTAGTGCTAGTTGTTACTAGGCTTTTGAGATCCTAATAAAGTAGTATCTTAGTGTCAAGACACCAACAAATTGTGATTTCAAGTGGCTAACAGAAGCGCTCAAGGTAACACCGCCCTTCAAAGTTTGTCTCTCTAAAAGGTCCACTCCCGCACCCCCCTGGCCCCTCAGGCCCACTCAAGACGACTAAGACTGAAGCCCCGCCTCCCCGGCCTCCAGCCACGCCCCCTTCCGTACAAGCTGTACGTTGTAGGGGGTCTTTACCATTGATTGACGTTTGCATTCACCAATAAAAAGTGAAATCCCCGTCAACGTCCGGTGAGGGGGCAGGACTTCCTTGTTGTTGCTAAGACACTCTTGTTTCGCTCCTTGACAACCCTGGCGGGGGTGCGCTAGCTGCGGCCCCGGCTCCGGCCCCCGCGGGAGCAGGTGAGGCCCCGGGGCGCGGCGGGCAGCCGGGCGGGGAGGGCCGGCCCGAGTCGGGGCCGAGAGGCGTCGCGGGGCGGGTGGGGCCTTGCCCACCGCGGAGGCCCCACCTCAGTCTCCCGCCTGCTGGTCCCCAGCCCCGGCTCCTCCCAACCCCCACCCTCCCATTTCGGAGACCGATTCGCTGTGGCGACTCCGCGGGCAGCTCCTTCCCCACACACTCGAGGCCCCGGCCCGCCGCGCGGTGCCCCAGCCTCCCTGACCCGAGCTCCCCACCCCACCCCATCCCCGCCGCGACCCCCACCAGGACCTTGATTCCCCCAACGTTTCGCGAAATAATCCCCCCACTCCCGCGGCTGCATGGGTGGTCGCGCTCGTCTTGGCCCAGACTGCTTGACTTGGACAGTTGGTGACGTGCGGGGACTCCGGGCTGGTCATTTCCTTCTTTGGGCCTCAGTTTCCCCATCTGTAAACAGAAGTCGGATTGAATAATCTCTAAGGCCTCTTGGACTCTGACGTCCTAGAATGTGATTCTTGATCCAGCGATAGGCTTCCGTGAGGATGTGCTGCCCACGGAAGTTACCGGGTGCAGTGAACAGAACTTGGCAGACCTGATTTGGATGCCCAATTACAGGGCCTTAGGGAGCTACCTGACCTCCCTGGGCTCCAGGCTGAGGATATATAAAATCAGGATGCGTTAGGCTATCTCCTTGGGGAATTCTGAGGGTAATAGGAATTGAAGTATGAGGAGTCCAGTCCAGGGGAGGTTTAGTATTTGTTACTTCACTTCCTTTGTCTCTTACTTCCCTGGTTCTTCTGGCTCTGAGAAGTGTCACCAGCTCCCTTAGTGTCAGCCGTCCTTTCTTCATGTGACCCTTGAATCCAGGCCTCCTGCTCTGATCTTTCTCCTGGGCTTCCTTGGTTAGGGATGCTTCGGGGTGGGGGTGCGGGTGGGGGTGAGGGTAGGGTGTGATGGATTGCCGCGGTGGTTGGACTCAGTAGCTTCCATTCTGTGCCTGACAATCCGTGATTTGGTAGTTACCTACTCCTGACAAGACACCTCCATTTGCATGTCTCACCAGCAACTTAAACTCAGTTCTAAAATCAAACTGACCCACTTCTTTACCTGTCCATCTGTTCTGACTTGCCGTCTTTCTCAGTCACGTGGCCACCGTGCCTCACTCTGCCATTGCCCATCCCACTCAGGCAGTTGTCAAGTTGCTTTGATTCTGCGTCCTCAAGGACCTCACATCTCCATTCCTGAAGCTACCATCCTGGCTCAAGTCTTTAAGTCTTGAGTGCCTGTCACCTGAGCCAGGGCCGTAGCTTCCTGACTGGTGTCCCTACCTCCAGTTTTTTTCTGGGTTTACCCAGCCCACCAGAGTAGTTGCCTGAAAACAATGCATGTCACCAAACCCCAAGAGACCTCCAAAGGGCTTCTCATTCCCCACAAGGTTAGATATTAGAGCCCTTCTAATACTTCTATACTTCCGCAACCCAACCCCAGTATTTTTTCCCCAGGCTTTTTTCTCCTGTGTCAGGTTCTGTCCTCGAGCCAAATTTGACCACTGGACCTTCCAGAAAATGCTTTGAGCTTTCTGCTTTGATATCACTGTGTTTGTTCATCTCTCTACCCTCGTCCACTTGCCAGGATTCCCACTCAAATGCTGCCTATGCCACCAAGATGTGTCTGCTCTCCTCTCCTCTGCCCCTTCTAGAACTCTCCGCCTCCCTTTCTCTGCACCTGCCTTGTGGCATGTACTGCTTGGTTAGTTCCTTGTATATGTGTGTTGGTCTCTCAGATTATAAGCTCCTTGAAAGCAGACACCGTCTCTTGCTTATAGTGGAGTCGTTGAAAAGGCATCATCTTGAAGGCCTATATACCTGAGGGAGTCTTAGCTCCTCCCATTTATTAGCTGGCTAGAAAGTCACTTTCCTTTTCTCAGCCACCGTGGTCATCAGAAAAGTAGGGATGATAGTGCCTGTCTAACAGAGTTATTGGGGAGGGGGGACAGTAAGATCCTGGATGTAGAACACCTATCCTGTTGCCTTGCTCAAGGTCAGTGTCCCATAAATAGTGGATGGATTTAATAGGTCTGCTCCTTTCCCAGGGAGCAAATGAAATATAATTTAATCACAATGTAGATATCTGTTGGGCTTTTGCCATGTGCCAGACACTGGTCTCTGAGCTCTGGGACATCTACAGGAGAATAGATAAGGTCTTTCAGCCTCAGGTGATTGTCTGGACTTGACACGCTGCTAAGTCGTGACTGGTTGTGAGATGTCACCGGTAATTAGTAATTGTGAATGATAAAAATAAATAATGAGTGCTAACTCCAATTTATTTCTGTAATAATGTCATTCGTAGTCCCTTACGTTCAAATCTGTTCTCTTGAGTGGGAAAGGGGGGGTGGGAAACTGCGTAATCCACTGTCTGTGGGAAGCATCTGTTCTTGTGTAGAGCTAATAGCTATGATGGTTTTGACTTTTTGCTATACTTTGCATATTGACAAAAATGTTTGGGATTTCATCCAGATTTGGGTATGTTGGTGAGAGGGTACCACGTGAGTCAGTATTGCTTATTGTATTAGGTTACGCATAAAGAAAATGTCTTGATCTCTTCATCTGTCTTCCTCCCTCCTCCAGCATAGTCTAAGGCACAGCAGAAGTATTCAGTGGACCTCAGAAAATGAGAAAAAATAAGGGCAGTGTTAAAAACAACACCACCAGCACCAACCTCCTGTGTGTGTGTATGTATGCACGTGAGCGCACATGTGTGTGTGAAGGGTAACTGTCTTTTCTGAGGACTGTCTTTTATTCTGCAACCATCTCCTCCTAACTCTTAAAACCTTCCTTTATAGTAGATGATGTGTTCAATTCTCTTGCTTAGCATAACTTAAAAATGCAATCCTGCGTTTGTTCCCCCTTTCTAAACTGATCTATGAGATCCATAGTTGAAATCCCTGTTGCCTCCTAACTTCACCACCATCTTGGATGAATGCTCCCAGGTCCTTAGATTTCTTTCTCCTTCCTTTGCCAGCTTTGCTCTGTGTTTGCCAGAAGGCAGAGGGTAGACGTGGCCAGCAAAGGCATAAGGATAACCAAGGTACACAAGTGTGGATCCCAGATATGGCTAGGCACACCTTAGACAGGTGGCTGGACTGGGATGCTGAGAATTGAAACTATTTGCATTTCTGTCTGTCTCCGACTTGCTTGTGGCCGGGAAAAGGGCATAGAAGATAGAATGAGAAGAGTAGGTATGGGTTTGGATCCTGGCTCCGTCATGGCTGGCTGTGTTCCCTTTGGCCAGCCTCAAAACCTTTCTGAGCCCCAAGTGCCTTATCTGAGAACGAGAAGTGGATGCTGCCCTCACAGGTGGTTATGGGGAAAAATGAAACAATGAATGAAAACCCAGTGTACCTACACCACTAGCGCCGGCCACAGCTTGTTCTACAGAATTTTCTTGTGACTTTTGTCCATCCATGCTACTATTGTGGTTTGTAGAGTGACCACTCAGTAAGTATTGGTTTGTTTGGCTGAATGTTTAGATGTTTAGCTGAACTAGTATATGAAGAAAGAAGTTGCAGGTCCCCCTCCTACTGTACCAGCAACAAGAGCTGACATTTACTGTGAGGTAGTCTACGCTTCATCCCAATTTCCAGATGAGATGTGAATCCGGAGCTGCCTGTGGAACCTGCACCCAACAACCGCCATGTCCTGCTCTGAGTGTGGCCTGCCATCTCTCAGATCCTGATGGTTACTGGGGGTACCCCGAACTCCACAGGCCAGGAGTGTTCTGGGCATTGAGCGGCTGGGGGCACCCTCAGAGGACTAGCAGACACTTCGGGCCTCATTTCCCAGAATCCTTCATTTCTCCTCCCAACCCTCTCACATCCCCTAACCCCCTTAAGGATTCTTCCAAAGCAAAATAATACATGACGACTGAGGTCAGTGTCACAAAAGAACAGGGCACAGAAAGCAAAGGGCCGCTGGCTTTTTCAAGGCGATGACAGGAAGGGCCCTGTCTGTGCCCCCTGTTGCCTAGGAGAAGCCTCTCAGCAGACACAGGCGAGGCTGTGTAAAGCACGCAGAGAGGCCCTCAGGGGTGGAGGAGAGCAAGGGGCCAGAGAGGTCACGACTGCCACCAGCCTTGCGCACAGGGACATCTCGGGACTGGTACCCAGCAGATTCAAGGACCTTGGCCGTGGGCACACTTACATTATTAAAGGGCTCTCTTTTAGGCCTGATGCGACTTCTTTCTGGCCTGGAGCTGTCAGGCACACACGTTTTCACGGAAGATTGATAAGGTTATTAAAACCTCTGGGGCGGCTATTTTTGGTAGCGTTCTTCCAGCTGGGTTTTAAATTGCGGCTGGATGACTATAGCTGCACTATAATGATACAGCATCATAAAAGATTCTCCTACCTTTCTGTATTTGGAAGCGCATCATCTTTAACTGTTCCTTTTTATTCTGCAAGTCTCTTCCCTTTTGGATCCCCAGAAGTATGGATAGCGGTTAGGAAAAGCCATTTGCAATCATGGTCCTTAATATAAACGTGGTTGAATGATGTTGATAAAGTCCTGGCTAACGGCAGGGCGGCAGTAAGAGCAGCACAGTGAGAAAAGTGCACGGGGCTTTGCAGTTTCCAAATACTTACATGCCTATAATTGATGCTCGACCCAGATCTCTAAGAACGAGAAGATGGGTTTATCCCATTTCACAGAGGTGGAAACCAAGGCTCAGGTTCAGTTACTTGCCCAAGACTACAAAGTAAGGAAGAGACCGGAATTCATTTTGCCTAGAGAACAGGCATTCAAGCCTAAATACTCTGCTTCCTGGTTCCCCACTCGCGCCCGCCCCACCCCCCCACCCCCAATATATACCTGTCCCAGTGGCTTTTACCCCTTCATTCCTGAAGAATGACTTTGGTAATACCTCTGACCTCTGAGTCCTGTTTCATTCAAGATTCCATCCACTGAAGCAGAATCTGAGCAGCCGCAGCCCTGCCCTTCCTAAGGGCCTGCACGTGCACACTTGCCTCGATCCCCTCCCAGGCCACTCCAGGCCGGCACACGTGAGCCCTGAGAATAAATTGGATCAAATTGAAATATTTAGGTGGAAGAGGCCCCTGCAGCTGCTGAGGACTCAGTGTTCATCATTTTAAGCTGAAAATCTTGGCAAGTCAGCAAACCGTAAAGCCCTTTGCCTTTGGTCATTGCCATGGCCACCACCTCTGTGACACCTTGATAACGTGGAGAATGCAGCAAGCAAGTGGCCTTTGTGAAAGCCAGGAGGACAGGATGGAATTGGAGATGGGTCTTAACATTCATGAGCAAAGACCAAACAATTCACTGAATTTTGTGAACTAAGAAATGAGGAGGAGGAAGTACAATGAGGTGGTGCCTGGTCATTTGCCAGCTTCCACATAGAAACAGAAGTTGCTAATATCTGAGTGCTCCACATGTCCAGAATTGATGAGATAAGAGGAGCCGTCTGTCCACTGGCAATCAGAAAATACCAGTGTTGCGTGGTGGCAGAGTCGGTGGCAGGCTTCCAGCCTTGTTCGATGGAGCCCACCAAATGGGGTGGCGCAGAAGGCTTCCAAGACATCAGAGAGTGGGCAAAAATTGAGAGCATGGCCCAGAAGGACATAGAAAGCTCAGCACTTGGCCACACAAGGGCGGAGTTCACGTTAGAACATGGTCACCAACTGGTCAGACATCAAATGTGCTGGGGTCACAGGAACCATGCTGGTGGTGGCTCCCGTGTGTTGGCGCTGTGAGGAGGGCCCACCCAGAGTGTCAAAGCGCAGGTCTGCAGCTCACTAGCAAGACTTCAGGCTGACCAAGTAGCAGCTTCAGGCCTCCATTTGTACAGGCCTCCCCGTGGGCTCACTGCAGTAGTGAAGCGCTAGGGACTGGACACCTAGCAGGTGTCACCTGTCATCACTGCCCGTGAATTACTCTGCTAGTATCTTCCAGCTTTGGTGACTGTGCCATGAAAACAAACCTAATTGGAAATGTGAGACATACTGGAGCAACATACAACAGGGTTGTATTTGTCCAGCATAGATGGTTAAACGGGGCTGACTGCACGGTGGTTTGTACACATTCTTCTGAGGTGAAGAAGTCTTTGAGTTCTAGGATAAATTGAATTGTAGAATAAAGAAAAACACCAGGATTTCTAGCAATGCTCCCAGACATTTAGGATCTAGGCTCATCTCTTTAGGAAAAGTCCCATCTGTTATTACATAACTAGATCTGGAAAGAAAAGAATCCAAACATATGTATTAGGCTTTATAACTTTCTGTTCATATGCACACACGTCTCATGTATGTAGCCACGTGCTGGGCACTGTGTTAGGCGCTTTACATACAGTGTCTCATCTGATCTCTTCCAGCCCCAAGAGAGATGTGACCACCCCCGTGTCACTGATGAGGCATCTGAGGCCCAAGGCCACGTGGCTGGTGAACAGTAGAACCAGCACAGACACCCAGGCCTTATACCTTCTGGACCAGCCAGACAGGACAGGGAGGCCTGAGCTGGGAGCCTGGCCTGCCCAGGAGGACCGGAGCTGCTCCCATTCCTTCCTCAGATCGGGGACCTGTGGAAGGAGGCACCTGCTTGTCCATAAGCCCAGGATTGTCGCTCTTGACCTTGACATTTAACTTTCTCACCACGTGTGCTAGGAAATAAGGACCAGGTACATTAGAGCGCCTGGAGAGTTGCTGCATTTGGTACTTGCGAGCTCAAGGCTCCATCCTCGGCCTGGCCCGCAGTCAGTATTTGTCTTGATAATGACAGTGTGGGCTTATAGCAGCATACCAGTGTGTTCTTAACCACCGGGTCCCAGCAGCTCGTGTTGACTCATCCTCCCGTCTGCAGACTTGCTGGCCATTTGGAAAAGGATGTGGAGGAGTTAAGACGGGGAGGTGTCACATTGTCGGTGAGACATTTCTAATTTGTGATGTATGGGTTTAAAGCCAACTCTTTCTCCTGGTTTTTCCTGTTTTCTACAGCACCCCTTGAGGAAAGACATTTTCTGCTCCCACCCAGTTGGCAGGGCCTGCTTCCCGAATCTCCCAGGCGTGTCGTAACTGCCAGTGCCAGCACCTCCTGAGAGCCCCGCTCCCTCCTTCCAGAGGTCACAGTGGAAGGATCATGGGAGAGACAGAAGGGAAGAAAGAGGAGGCTGATTATAAGCGACTGCAGACCTTCCCTCTGGTCAGGGTAAGCCCCAGGGGAGGGCGGCAGGGCCACACAGCCTTGGAGTGAGGCAAGGAGCTGGTTCCCCACATGACAGCGGAAGAAGAAAGGCAAGGGCTCTGTGGGCTCTGATCTAGAGGTCAACAGCGCTTCATTCCGTCATCCATTCATTCATTCAACAAGTCTTTACTTAGGCCACCTACCACACGTTGGGCACTGTTCTAGGCACTGTGGATGTAGCCGGGAACAAGACAGAGCCTAGGCCACGTGAAAGAGAGGCTTAAGGAACATAATTCCAGTCCTTAGTGCTTTAAAGAAAAATAAAGCAGGTGTATGGGGCTAGAGAGTAGAGGTTAGCTTCTGGAAAGAGTTCTCTGATCAGAGACGTGAATAAAGTTGGGGAGATAGCCTTGCAAATGTCTGCGGAAAAACATTCCAAGCAGGAGAAACGGCGAGCACAGAAAACCCAAGTTGGGAGTGAGCTCTGTGTTTTGGAGGAACAGAAAGAAGGCCGGTAGCTGGATCAGAGTGCTGAGATGGGTGGCAGGACATGAGGGCCAGAGTGACAGCAGGCCAGATCTCACAGGTGCGCCAGCCACTGTGACAGATGTGGTGAGGAGCATGGATTCTATCCTGAGTTCAAAGGTGAACAGTGGATGTTTTATTTATTTATTTTTTTAAAGATTTTATTTATTTATTCATGAGAGACACAGGGAGAGAGAGAGGCAGAGACACAGGCAGAGGGAGAAGCAGGCTCCATGCAGGGAGCCCGACGTGGGACTCGATCCCGGGTCTCCAGGATCACGCCCTGGGCTGAAGGTGGCACTAAACCACTGAGCCGCCCGGGCTGCCCACAGTGGATGTTTTAAACAGAGGAGTAATGTGATCCGTTTGGTTTTTAAAAGATCACTCCAGCTGTTGTAAGGAGAATGGGTTTTAGGGGACCAGAGTGGAAGGGGGGAGACCAATGAGGATGCTACTGCAGGGGCCCAGAGAGATGAGAGGGTGACTGGGTCGAGGTCATGGAGTGGAGGTGGACATGGTCACAGTCAGGTCGAGGCAGTAGAACTCACTGGCGTGTTGGGAGCCGAGTACGAGGGCCCACGATAGTCAAGCTAACTCCTGAGCTTAGATGAGAAATTGGTGTCAATTACAAGAGTAGGAAGATGGAGGAAGAGTAGGTTTGTGGGGAAAATCGAGTTCTCTTTTAAACATCTTAGTGAGATTGTCAAGTAGACAGCTGGACATAGGAGTCTGGAGCCAAAAAAAAAAAAAAAAGGTTATAGCTGGGAATGAAAATGTGGGAACCCTCCCCATGTAGAAGATACACAAATCCACAGGACAGGGTGGGATCTCCTAGAGGCGAGATTGCTGGGGAAGAGAGGGGGTGGAGACGAAGCCCAGGATCCTCCCGCAGTCAGGAGGAGGAGGGGGATCCAGCGTAGTGGATGAGAGAACAGCCAGAGGCAGGAAAAACCAGGACCGTCAAGAGCAGCCAAGCTGTCTCTTCACACTTTTGAGGTGAGATCCAGCTGTGCTCTGGGGCCGCTTATAAGCTATTTCTGTAACCGGCATCCCCTCCTGCCTGGGCCAGCCTCCTTCCCCATGTCTGCTGGCTGGAATGTGATGCTGATGAAGCTTCATGCCCTCGCAGAGGGGCCTGGGCATTAGAGCCCACTTGGTTCTACTGGATTCCGTGTCCTCTGCCCCCCAGCCACACACCCCGAGTCAGGATATGAGTCACTCTCTGGGCTCTGCCCAGGGCTGTGCCAGGGCAGCTACCCAGTGTCCATGCCTTAAGCTTGGGACAGAGAGGCCAGCCCAGAAGGCCAGGTCACGGGCTAAGCCTCTCTCTGTTTGTCCCCCTGCCCTGTCTCTAGCATTCGGACATGCCAGAGGAGATGCGAGTGGAGACCATGGAGCTATGTGTCACGGCCTGTGAGAAATTCTCCAACAACAACGAGGTATTGCCATCGGTACAGGCGGCCTCTTGTGCCTTTGGTGACCCCCGTGGGTGAATCGAGTGGCCCCAGTTCGCACATCCAGCTCCAGAGAGTTTTACTGGGACCTGGCTAGCACCTTTGGAAGCATTGAAAGCCCAAGGAAGGCCAGCAAGGGAAGAGGCTGGTGCTGTCTCCAGGCACTGGTCTGCTGGTCATGTCCAGCCCCAGAGGGCTCTCCGTAATGCCCTGCCTGGGGTCCCCGTCTCAGAAGGCCTGCTGAATAGGGTACCTTTCCCCTTGGCTCCATCCCAGTGGAGAACAGCGCCTGGCCAGGCATTCATTCATGTATCCATTCATCCATTCAGACAAGATGTGAGACACCATCTCTCGTGCCAGTCACTGTTCTGGGTGCTGGGGGTACGGCCAGTCGGCATTGACGCAGGAACACCCTTCATCAATCTGGGGATGAGTGAGAAAGTATCATGGCAGCCAGTGGGGAGGCAGCCCCCGGCCCATGAGAGCTCGGGCCTCAGGCCAGCCAGGCCCAGGTTCACATGCTGTCCGCAGCCTTCCGAGCTCTTTAACCTTAGACACCCCTTCTCGTCTCTGAGCCCCGGTGTCCTGGTCTGTAATGGGGAGTCAGACGCTGCATCCTCCCTGGGCACTCGTGAGGATGTGTGCCAAGGTGGTGCGGGCACAGTGCTGGTGCTAGCACGCACCTGAGCGTGGGACTGCCCCCCCCAAGGCGGGCTCCTCTGCCCCTCCCTAGACATCGTGCCAGAAGAAGCTTCTTGAAAGAACCAGCACAGGAAGGAGTGGGGGCTGTTGCCATAACTGAGGGAAGGAGTCTGCCTTCTCTTCTCAGAGCCCCTAAACCCATTAGGGAAAAGCCCTTCTGTGCCCTGAAGGGAAAGCCAACACCTAGAAGTGAGGATGGTCACATACAATCCGCAAGGTGCTCTTAGGCTCTCAGGTTGTCAGGGACAACCCGCCCGAGCACAGCCTGGCTGTGCTGACACCAAAAACAAGCCGTAAGGGGTAGTGCCAGAGCTCAGACCCAGAGCTCTGTCTGCAGACCCGTGTCTGCTTTCCCTCCCTCACCACTGTCTTCCTGACTGGTAGGGTCATGTCTGTTCTTCTGTCCCTGTGTTATAGCCCCTGGCAGGGGTGGGGGTGCAGCCAGGGTGGAAACCTTTTCTGCAGGTTCCAGAGCAGAACAGCAGCAGGGCCACAGGCTCCTCTCTTGCCAAGACTTCTGCTTCCCAGAGAGGAGGTTGACTTGTGCCCCCTCCTACCCCCTGACGATTGTCCTCTCCATTCCAGAGCGCTGCCAAGATGATCAAGGAGACCATGGACAAGAAGTTCGGCTCCTCCTGGCACGTGGTCATCGGCGAGGGCTTTGGGTTTGAGATCACACATGAGGTGAAGAACCTCCTCTACTTGTACTTCGGGGGGACCCTGGCTGTGTGTGTCTGGAAGTGCTCCTGACACTGTCCCCAGCCCTGCCCCCGTCCCCTGCAGGGCCTCTTCCCTCCGTCTATCAGGGGACGGGGGAACAGCCCCGGGCAGGTCCTGGTTTTTCAAAGGAGAGTCTGGGGTCTTTCCTTTCACCCTTTCATACCTGTGTGTGAGCGTGTGGACATCTTTCCCCAGGCTCCCAGCGTGTGAAGGGGAGGGCAGGCTGTGGTCTCGATGCAGGGGAGGGTGGGAAATGTGACAGGGTAGGAGGGCAGGGAGCTGGAGCTTTTGTCACAAGGACATGCCAGCCCCACCTTGCTGGGGGGCTGCCCTCTCCTTGCCTCCCCCGGAGCCCCCGGCCCTCCCACCCCCAGCACTGCTGGCAGGTGTTCGCTGTCCTTGTCTTTAGTGGCCATACGCAGGATGGCCCCAGGAGGAGCCTGTCCTCTCAAGGAGGCAGCTTCTCCCCTTGTCCTCTGGAGAAGTGGTGACCACCCAGAAGCCCCTTCCCAATCTGACCCCAGGCTGAACAAACCACTGCATCTCATTGGACCAATAGCTCCAGAGTCCCCGGCTTTGGCATGAGGAACAAGCAGCCTCTCCCTTGTCCTCCCCTCCCTTCCCAGCCGCCAGGCCGTGAACCTTTTGTACCGCCTCCACCCATGCACTTGGTAACCCGTGGCAGAGGGTGTGGGTGTCACTGAGCCTCCGGCGAGGCTCCCGGGCCAGGAGTGCACTCACCATGAGGCCTGTTTCGGCAGGGAATCCTGGCCTGCCAGCTACTTCTCATCAGGGACCGCATGCTAATTTGTACTTCTTATCTCTGCTGGGTTTTCTATATTCTTTTTTGAGCGTGGGGAGAAGGGTTTTAGTAGAAGGGTGAATCCTATTTTACACAGCGGTCTTATTTATATAAATGTCTTGGTTTTTACAATTAAAGTGACCAAAAATGGACCTTGACCTACAGCCTCCTGAGGTTTGGGGAGGTTGGACTCGGGATTCTCAGGCTGTGGTGGGTCCTAGGAACCCAGAGAGTCTTCTGGTTGTATAGGGAGGCTACTAGAACGTTGTCGGGCACAGCCCCCATCACCCCAGCCCTGCCCCCTCACTATCACGGCCCAGCTGGGGGGCGGGCTGCATGCCGTTGCTGGGGACACAGGGACACTGATTGAGACACACCCTCCATGGCCAGACTGAGCTGCCCTGAAGACATTTTCAGTGTAACATCATGAAGTCATAACTGTTGAGTGGCAGGCCCCAGGCGCAGGGACACAGAGATGGGAAAGCGCAGACCTTGCCCTTGGGGAGCTCACCAGAGGAAGTAGTCCGGAGCAACACCGGACACCGGATCCCGTGCGGGATCCTGACCTGAGCAACCCAGTTGTTTCAACAGGACAGGGAAAGGGATGCGACCAAAGATGAGCCAGGGCCTACCAGGAAGAGGAAGGATCGCCTCCGCACCCAGCGCAGGGACGGAGGGTGTGAGGGGCCTCTGGAGGCTGAGGGCTTTCCTGGGACGGGGGTGGGCTGCCCCAGGCCCAAGGCAGAAGGGATTTGAGGATGAGGGGGGCACACTGTGGGACTGTGAAGCCCCCTCGGCTCGGAGCTGGCCCCTGAATTCAGATCTCAGACCCTCAGATGCTGGCCTGCAAGGGGCTGGAACAGTCTGCCCTTCACAGCCTTCGAGGCCCCCGGGGATGGCCCACCGAGGACACTCAGGCCTGGGAGTCTCGGCCCCCAGGCCAGGAGTGCACTCACCACGAGGCCTGTGCCCAGGCCAAGTCCATCTGTAACAGATCTGTCGTTGCACAGGCCAGATGGTGTGGCTTCGGTTGGCTCAGGTATGCTCACACAGGCCGGCGCAGCCGGGCAGGGAGATGGGTGCTGGTGGGTCACCCGTGCATGAAGCACTCACTGACTTGGTGCCGTGCGGGATCCTGACCTGAATAAAGTGGGACAGCAAGGACTAGCAGCAGTCGGAGTCCCCCCCACAGGCTGACCCAAGGCTGGAGAGATGGGGGGTGCACCAACAGGACCCCCAGGAATGGGGCGCTGGGGCCTGGAATAGCTGTGGTTTATTAGCTGCCCGCTTTGCGTCTGTTTTCTCCTTTCATCTGCCACCTGTGGCTGCCAAAAAGGGAGGCTGGCTCAGCCTGCAACCGAGGTGGTGGGGGCAGCATTTGGGAGCGTGGGCTCTGAGGTCCACCGATCTGGCTCAGGCCCGGCCCTGTGCTCCCTAACCTCTCTGTGCCTCGGTTGCTTTGTCTGCAGAATTAGGGCTAGAAAGCACCCTCCCGAGGCTGCTGAGAGCCTCGGGCCGACATCTGGGGCAGGTGACCCCAAGGGGTACGTGCTGTTACTGTCTTGATGTGCACCTTTGAGCCTGCTACTTCTCTTCCCACCTGATACCCGGTCCTGAGGATGGGGTGGAGGTTCAGCGACGTGGGGCTGGTAAGGGGCTGGCCCTCGCAGGCATGTGCTACAGCAGAGCTCCCCAGGTCCAGGCAGTGGACCCCCCCCCCACCTGCCGCCCCATTCCTGCTCCCATCTAGGGTATGGTCCCTGTTGGGCAGGGTCAGGTGACCGAGCACTGTGGCAGCAGTGTTGCCCAGGGATTTCGTCCTTCTGCTCCCTGAGACCGGGGCTGGCCACGCTCACCCCGACCTTCCTCCCACGGCCGTCCCCGCTCCTGGCCGGTGGTTCAACAAGCATTCACTGACAAGAGTGGAAGAGGAGGGGCGTGATGAAGAACACCTGCCCGCGGCAGCGAGCGGCTCGAGGTCTGTCGAGGGCAGACCCAGGAACAGAAAAGCAAGAGGCATTTAAACCATCCACGAGGAGGAGAGAGGACAGGGGTCAAGGAAGTACGGAGTTCAGAAGAGGGAGTGGCTCACTGCCCAGGGCACGGCGGTTGGGGGGGAAGCCTCACAGAGGAAGGCCAGGGTGTCCTCGGGGCCCGGGGACACTGCCGAGGTTCCAGGATGGAGAGCAGGTGGGCCAGAGTTGACCAAAGGGCAAGGTCAGGGCTTCGCTGGGCAAGAGGAGGAAGACCCTGCCATCCGTTGAATGCGTCCCACCTGGCGGGCACTGGTTCCGTCCCTCGAGACCACGACGTCCTGCGTCCTCAGCAGCCCCCCAGGCGATAGACACTGTCCCCGGTTATGAGTGAGGGCTGGGAAGTGGCGAGCCAGGACCTGCAGCTGGGCGCGTGGGCCCAGGCCTCCTCACTGCCTCTGCTCGGACCAGGCAGCCGGGCACCAACCTGGTGGAAGGGGGGCCACAGCCTCGGCTTGCCCGCCCGCACCTGGTCCCCCTGCCAGGCCCAGCCAGGCGCAGCCTTGTTCACAGGCCAGGTTGCCCGCCCCACGCCACAGGGCTCCGTAGCTCGGCCTGAGAGAGCGGGAGGTCAGACTGAGCAGTCCAGAGTGGGGGGCCGGGGGAGCCAGCAGGCACTGGGCAGTCACTGTGAGGAGGCGAGGGGGGAGGCCCCCAGCTGCAGTGGGCATGCCACCGCTGGGCACACCGACTTTGAAGCGCTCGGGGTGGCCTGTGGAGAAATCCGCTGAATGTTTAATGCCATCTTAGAAGGGAGGCCAAGAAGCTCCAGGATCCCACTTAACCTACTTCCTGCCTCTCTGGAGAACAAACAGGCAGGCAGGAGGGTGGCCCCTTGGGTTGTGGGGTCCCAGCTTAAACCAGTGCCTGCCCCCCCCCCAGCAGGAGGGACTGAGCTGTGAAGCTCCCAGCTCCGAGACATAGAACGTAGGACGAGGACGCAAAAATTCCGCCCTGCAGACCCTCCCCAGTTTGGGAGGGGGATTGTGAAAGTTTAGCCACAACTCCCCACCCTGTTCTATTTTCCTTTTGTTCTCTCATCTCATATTTAAAGCAACCACCTCCCACTGCCAGCTGCTGTCTTCAATCCTTAGAAAGGCCCAGTGGGGGGTGGCGGGGGGGTAAAGAGAGCACTGGAGGCAGAAGAGCTGAATTAGTGTTAATAATGTTCCCAAACTACCAAGCGTGCCAGGCACTTGGCTGAGCATTTTCTGGACTCTGGCTCACTCTGAGGAGGTACTGTCCGCGTCCCCCCCCCCCTTTTCACACAGGGCATCAAGACACGGGGAGGTGAAGCTCCGGGTCACACAGGGCTGGGGAGGCAGAGCTGGGGTTTCTGTAGGCCTGGGACATCAGAGCCCCGGCACCTAAACCTCTCCAGCCCCCCTGCCCTGCTTCCTTTCCAGGAGACTGTGGGGCACTAGAGAGATGCTGGCCATGGACATGGGAGTGCTTTCAGTGGGAGGAGCCAATCCAGGATTTGGGCCAGGGCCAGTGTGGGGTGCCATCCTGCACCCTTGGGCTTCCTAGCCCCGGTACTCTTGGGCCCACAGTGCTAGAGTGTGAACAGCAGGGTGACCACGCAAGCTTGTGCATACACTTCCAGTGACCAGGACCTCAAAAAGCTGGACTAGACCACCCCCCCTTCCACCAAGCCAGGGAAAACAGTCTCAGTGACAAGTACCTGTGAGGCCTTCAGAGTCGCCCAAGCCCTCCTTAAGCCCAGTCTGTACTCCAGCCTTAAAATGGCCTAGTGAAGTGGGGGGTGCCCACCGCCACCAGCAGTGGGAGATGGCTTCACAGAGAACTGGTGACATGCCAGCGGTGGGGTCTGGCCTTGGGCTCAGGTTTCTCTACTGCTCACCAACAGCCTCGAGACATGGTGAAAGTGACAGCTCCGGGCAGCCCGGGTGGCTCAGCGGTTTAGCGCTGCCTTCGGCCCAGGGCGTGATCCTAGAGACCCGGGATCAAATCCCACGTCGGGCTCCCTGCATGGAGCCTGCTTGTTCCTCTGCCTGTCTCTGCTTCTCTCTCTATGTCTCAAACAAATAAAATCTTTAAAAAAAAGTGACAGCTCCTCTGGGACACCTTCCCCACTGCACCCTCGGGACCCCCCCTTCTAGATTCTGACTTTGTGTCCCCAGTGTGCCATATCATCTGTCATGGTATCTACACCTGATACATTTTAGTGACTTGATGGCAGGGACTATGTCTTCTCTCTAGCACAGGGCCTAATATGTATTGAAGATGCATCATGAGGAGTAAGGAAGTGAAAGGATGGACAGATGGATGGATCGGTGATGGTTGGATAGGTGGATGGGTGATGGATGGGTAATGGGTGGATGGATGGATGGATGGATGGATGGAAGGATGGATGGATGGGATGGATGGACAGATGGGTGGATGGGTGATGATTGGATAGGTGAATAGGTGATAAGTGGTGATTGGAGATGGGTGATGGAGGGTGGGTGGATGGGATGGATGGACAGATGGGTGGGTGGACAGATGGGTGGGTGATAGTTGAATAAGTGAATGGTGGGTGATAATGGATGGGTGGATGGAGGACAGGTGGATGGGTGATGGGTGGGTGGTGGGTGAGTAGAAAAGTCCCAGGAAACTTAGAGCAACAGGCACATGAAGCAGGTATATCAGCGATGACAGAGTCAGGGACTGAGCCTTGTCCCTTGAATTCTGATACCCTCTGCCAAGTTCCCAGGCCCCTCACAGAAGGCCTAGGGTTTGTTTGGGACTCACAAAGTCACCCCCGCTTTGGCCTGGTTCCCAAGAAACACGTAAAATCCAGAAGCAGTATGAGTGGATTCCCACAAGTGGGAGAGCATTACAAAGCAGGAAGAGGATGCTGGGTTTGCAATGAGACCTGAAAATCAGTGCCAGCTCCACCACTGCCAGCTGCATGGCCTCGAGTGAGTCCTTCATCTCCTGAGCCCCATTCTCCTCATGTGTAAAATGGTGAGATGTCGTTGTCCTTCTAGCCCAGAGGTCACTGGGAGGATTGAGGGTATAGAGCAGCAATTGAAAGGAGGTCACGAGTTAGCTGCTATTATCAAAGCCTCTGCCAGAGGATTGCCATTGGCAAGTGCAAGGTCAACAGGGCTCCT